AACTCGGCATCAAAAGAGCGACTACCCTATTCTCCCCGACGCGGCAATAGTCGCTGTGATTCTATGGAACAAAGCCCACTTCCAAAAGCGAAACGAAGAATGCTAGAGAAAAGTAGTAAACCGGTCACAACAAGATCAAAGGGGAAGGGGAAAGGGACGGGATCAGAATCGGGGGCAAGCCTAGAGATGGAAGTCTGTGGAACGATAACACTAAAGCCGCTACAGCTGGCGTCGGGCATAGAGAGGAGGATTTCACGAAGATTGTCGAAGTTACCAGCAGAGATTCCTACGTAAATAGCCACATATACCGCCGCTTAGCTAGTTACGCCCGCTCATTTCATTTGTTGTTGGAACGATTAAATGGATGGTTTTCCTTTGTTCTACGTGTACTCATTCTTTCTTTATACGTTTATTTAGCATTATTATTCCCATCTTTTTTGTACGAGTCAGGGCCGGGGGGACTGCTGCTGGGTGTGTGTACATTTGTGGGTGCTTGGGCGTTATGCGGGCGGAGGATATCAATTGTACTGTTTATGACGGGCTCATGTCGGAAAGTATGCATGCCTACATCTACATATATACCCACGGTTTTTTTTTGTTTGGTGAATACCATTAATTTTTGTTTCCCCCCGCCCCCTTCGGTGGCTGCATGACTTGTGTGTACATAATTTAATCTTCACGAATTAATTACAAAGACGGGGAGAAACCAGAGGAGGGTTTGGTCAGCCTTTGAGCCGCAATTTCTTGATTAGTTAGTCGGGGCCATCATCGATATCGACATCCGCATCTGAGATCGATCACAAACACCACGTATGTCGTTCCGCCTGCGGTCAAGAGTCAAGACGAACACAGGATACCTTGCGAACCTTACTTTCCACAGACAGCGGACCCCCGCGAGTAACCGTCGACATCTACGGCTGAACTCGCCCAGAGTAGAGTACACGTGGATGACAACCTATCTTTGGAGGCTCTGTTAGTGTAGGTTTCCATGTATGTAGGAAGGGCGCTTGCTATTTTAAGACATTTCATCATGAATTATCACTCGCTACGATGGGAATACGAGCGTGGGTTCTGGGCACGTATCTAGCTCATGTAGGCGTTTTTGTCACTACAGGTGTGATCTGGGGGTACTTGTGCGCTTTCCTAGGTTAGGTTGCGGTGGTTATGTCTCTAGAGGAAGCTTGTTGCTGTGCTGTGCTATCAGGTGGAATTCTTGGCTAAATTCTTCGGACTGGGCTTTCTAGACGCTCGTGAGTACTTACCACCTGGGGAAGAGGGGATTGGGGGAGACTGATACATTTTGACCTAGCGATGAAGCCCTATCAGCGGAACAACAGTAGGTAGCGAACCCCATACAGGGGCAAAACCAGGGTCTGAATAAGGTTATTTACACATGACACGGTGGCGCATTCTCTGGGAAATGTGGGCTTGAAGGGTCTTCGCCTTATGTTGCGTTCAGGCAGTGAAGAGTCGAGAAGATCGATAAAGGCAGTTTCATGTCAGGGTAGCGGGTTGAGTAAGGCATTTGAGTCCTCTACCTACTCGTTATCTCCAAACATGGCTTGGCGTTTGATGGTGTTCCGCTGTTTTAACTGTCGCAACATCTGGCGGTGCAGTCTACTGGTCAACGACAAACAACGAACACTGGAGCCTCAGCCTACCTAAGATCCTAGGAACGTCCGCAGAGCTAGAGTTGACGAACAAAATTCTTGTACGCGACTATAACGCCCCATAGTCGGGCATCTTGGTGGCTTGGGCTATGGGTTTAATTTCTGTGGAGATGGAACATAGACAGCATGTGTGGAAACCACAGTTATATCCATGTCTCGGTGCGCTGCAGTACTCGGAGGTATCATCGAATCCTCGATCCTTGGGGCGTTACCAGAACTTTCTTATGGGTTGTCCTGTAAACGGTCTCCAAAGCCGGGGGAACAAAGCAGGAAACTGCTCATGCTTGGGATATCCCAACAAGGAAAACACCCTAGCATATGATTCTGTTCGCGAACTTTGCGAACTTTCCTGGGTAGGGCTCGTTTGTCGATATTGAGGGCCACGCAAACAAGACAATCATTCACGGTTGGGATGCGCCTTTTGTGGACGTTTCAATATATGATTATCTTCATGAAATGGGTATCGATGGCTGGGTTAGGAATATATATAATAAGATCTCATTTGGTATTTTAGACCCGTGAGGACATCTGTCTAACTTATACTACTACAAATGTCATTTACGACAATTCAGGGCCCGATTTACTTTTTTTCATTGGTCCAGAACGCTCTGTCCCCCGAGAAGCAGGATATTTTATCGCGCCGCGGATAGCATTGCTACACACTGGTGTTATGTGGATCGAGTCACAAAGAATCACTCGCCCTCAAGTGTTCCAGGCCTCGAAAATATTCGAGCATGACTGTCGCTCTCACTACAGGAAGCAAACCTTAACTTTATGAACACACTACTTTAAGGCGCGACTTCGAATGCCCTCTTTATTACTCACAGTTGCATCTCCTGGCCCAACGATTACCATATGTTAGCAGTATCTATCTCTATCGTCCCGGGTTTAGTATGTTCTCGTACGGTATACATAGCTTGTCTTAGCTTGTGGGATCATTCGCTTTGGAAATCCGAAACTGCATGATTCCGAACTGCTTGTTTGCTCGCATTGTTCCATAGACGACTGGCCCAGCGCCTTTCACGAAGATTTTAGACGGATGGTGGTGGAGATAAGGTAGAATGATTAATAATTGGCCGGGGGGTTTACTACATGCAGCAGATGTACCTCCAGCGCTTTTGGCGTAGTGTGTCATGTCACCTGAGCTCACAAATGCGAGTCCCTCTCCCGGAACGTGTATCATGGTATAACCCATTACTCTACATACAACAAAAACAATCGGTCTTGGGAACCCATTTAGACTGTTGGCAGGGAAAAAAAAATCAAGTGCTCTGGTGTGGGCACTCGTTGATGGATCCCCCTCCCTCGACATGGTGAGCCTTGGAGGTTCACATAGCGCGCGAATTGTTGGTTCTGATGATTCATGACAATCCGGCGTGTTTGTAAGGTACATGTAGCATATACAGATTTGTGGCAGTAACATCGACCTCTGGTTGTGTTTGCCCAATTGAAAGAGCGCTAGAGGCATAGCAAGGTTATGCATATTGCCAGTAAAGAACGGATTTGAAAGGCCACAGCCCACTAAACTCTTTGATTGTCGATGAGAGCATGTTCGAGAAGGGACGGCCTAGCAAGGTTTCCTATTGGCTGAATATATAGTGGGGGTACTGTGATCTTCCAGCATTCTGAGCTGTACTGTCATATAATGCTAGCACCATGTTTATTGACGAACGGTGGTGGTAATTTCCTATAGCTTCAGATGCGCACCCCTAAGACTTAGCTGACTATGGATATAACGTATCGCAATATAATCTTCCAGGAATCCGTTCTCCCAAGGTCCATAAAAACCGCCCAAAAAGGATTTGACACGCAAATCCGCCCTTGCTTGAATTTAGACTAGAAGGGCTTTTCCACCCACAGGGTCCGGATGAACCACACCCCCTCAATGTCTTAGTGGGATTTATACTGGACTAGCGTCGCATGTGGATTGAGCCAAGGGGAAGGGTTTTATTTTTACTCTCAACCTCAGAATTGTAAGGCTGATGAGATTGACGAGCCAACCATATGTGCACCCAGCGAGTTGTGGATGGTTTTCTGGCCCAGAAGAATCTAACCACATGGCAGCAGGTACTTAGGGCTGTTCATTGCTCTGGTCTCGTCATTAAGGTGTGGCCAAGAAGATGTACAGACACGTACCTGTGCTTTTCTAGCCAATCGGGCATCAAACCCATCTGTCGGATCTCGGTCATCGGAACTCATTCGTCAGGAAGAGAGAACATGAATGGAGCTTCTATTCAAAGGTTATGATTCACTAGATGTGATTGCGTCTTCTCCCGCCCGAGTTGTTGCCCTGAGTACGCACATGTAGGTACCCAGGGATGGTGGGGGGTTCGGACCAATAGCTAGACATGTCTTAGCCGCATTAGGAATAGTGTGCTCTCGGGAGATCTACCCGGCGGCTCTGTTGAGCCGCAGCATGGATGACGACATGTCAACAAACTTGTGCATCAAACTAGCAAACAGAGGAGTTCTTCATCAGAATACGTGCAATTGTGTTCAATAATAAATTTATTTCACTCTTGAGAAGACGTTACTCGCCTCTGTCCTCGAAAATACCAGCGAACCGTGAAGAAAGAAAACCCAACTAAACTTTTGTATCCCCAAAGCCTCATAACGACCTGAATAACCACCTCCAGCCAATCGTAGTAGAAAAAGAAGAGAAATATAATAGAATGAAAAATCAGACAAATAATATGGGCATTTACCGAAAGCTCGGTGGTTTCTGTAGGGAAGGGATCTAGCCGTCTACTTCCAAGCAAACTGGGATCGACCCATCAGATGAACGCACGGTTCCCTCTAGTGTGCACGCCACACCCCACGCTCCAACAGACGGGTTTAATAGAAATTGAAGAGAAAATAAGGAGAGAATTTGGGGTTTAAACCATTCTTCGTGTTAATAAACTCGCGACCGTACAGAGGAAAGAATAATGCAATCCCCCCAAATGAATAAAGGCGATTTGTAGAATGACACAGGACATTATCAAGACCATAAAAAACACCAAAGGATATACAATATAGAAATAATAATAAGTAGAAGATTTGGATGACAAAAAGAAAATCGTAATGGATACCTAGGCAGTAGAGCAAACATTCATGCATGAGTAGACAACTAACCAAGATATGCCTGAAAAAAATGACGAAGGCTATACTTATGCTGTAAATGGAAGGAAAAGGCGGGGTAACGACTCATTCGTGATACAATCACGTCCCCAAAAATACAAACATGAAAACCAAGGAAAGTCGTAATGCCGTCTCCGCTGATCCAAAGATACAGTTATTCGGCGTGAGTTTCCGGGGGGCATCAATCACACTAGCATCCGTCGGAGAAGACTAGTAGGTTGGCTTCTTTGGCTTCCTCCAGTAGTATTGCTAGATTTAAGCAATCATTAGTCCCATCCTCATACCTCAATAAAAAAAAATTAATACAAGAAAAACCAACCTTGTGGGACTTTCTGCAAGACCTCAACCCTACTCTCCCCATCCCCTCAACAACCGCAGCACGTCGACCTTCATCAGTATCCTGGTCGGGGATATAGTAGTATTCGCTCTGCAGAGGTTTTCCTGCAGCATCCTTGCCAGTACGCTTGATTTCTCCAATGCAATCAATGTTGCTCGTAATCTGGACTAAACGCTCCTTGGTGATGGAAGCTGCCAAAGCGGATGGAAGATGAGACATTAAAATCGTGAGCGAGGTGGATGACAGACGTGAGAAGGCAAGCTGATTGATGATGTGGTTTTGGACAGTATTAGTCTTGTTAGGAGAGGTTGAGGCACTACGGCGTTGTATAGGAGAAGAAGGCAAAGCAGATACTGCACGGATAGTCGAGGAAGTTGCCGGAGTTGCTGGAGGGGCATAGAGTGATTCCTTGGTAGAGAACCTAGCCATGGGTGGAAGTATAGGTTCCGGTGCATAGCTATGTAAGATCGGCTCTTCCTCCCTCTCCTCCTCTTCCTCCTCCTCTGATTCATCCGATTCATTCTCAGCTAACAATTGCTTCAGCTCTTCATCATCATCAGTTTCATCTCCCGGGGCCATCAGTAGTTTGGCGGCAGCCGATGAAGCATCCTCTTTTTCCAATGGTCCAGGAAGCTCTATATGGTCCTCATCCTCATCCCCCTGCTCATCGTCCTGCTCATCCTCTTCTTCCTCTTCCTCATTTACCTCCTCATTAACGAAATCTGCCACTGGTTCGTCTTCATATATTTCCAGGAAAGTATCTGTCATATGCGGATCCGATTCGAATATGGCACCAGTGTTCCCCAAACCTCTCCTAGGAGGAATAGGGGAACGATTTTGCTTTTCAGTAGAAATATTGAACAGACGACGATCAGTACGTTCATTGTTACCAAGAGGGTCGATATTTTCATCGTTATCATCAGCCCATCCAATTGAAGGACTTCTGGACACTCTAGCACGAGTCGGTGTGCCAATAGTAGAGGTGCTTGACGAACGGGCCCGGCGGACCTGAGTTGGTACTGGCCATGCCAAGACAACTCTAGAATCCTGAACATCTAACATGATCTCTGCATCCTCCGTCTCAGACGTGAAGACATCCCCCTTAGAAAGCTCCCATGCTTGACCTTGACAGTGAATTTTTACGCCGTTCCATCCCATACATTGAATCTCGACCATGGGCCGTGTTGAAGAGGACAGGTATTGCGCCTTGACATGGACGCGTGAAATTAGTCTGTTTGCAGAAAGCTGATAGTGAGATGAATTGCTGGACCTGCCAAGTAGAACTGGTTCACCATTTTCGGGAAGAGTGATGGATGGCAGTGCGGATAGCGGAGCACGCTCGGTCAGAGTGGATTGGCTTCTGGCGAGGAGGGGTTTGCGTGCAGCGACACTGGGATGTGGAGGCGGAGATGATTGAATCCTCTGCGACGACGAAGAAGGGACAGGTGTCGGATATCTGTTTTCGTGTTCTTCTGATAGGACGCGAGATTTATGTCTTTTGAAGCATGGAGGTGAAGATTGAGGCTCGAACGCTGGTAGCAAAGGGCCCGGAGCAGATCGTTTCACCCCAGCAACGGTGTTGTTTGTCTCGAGGACGACCCGTGTGGGTGAGTCCATTTCGGACTTTACTATTTTTTATATGTCTCTGTGTTAATAGACGACAAATATCTGTGATGATTTTTTTTTTTTTTGGAATATATGGTATGACTCTCAGCAGGAGAGGGTAGAGGATGAATGGATGGTGATGATGATGAATCTTCTATGGCGAAAGGGAGACCAACTTTGCGTGCTAGAAGGGGATGGGGAAATAGTCGGGTAAAGTGGGTTCGTGGTCGGGTGGTTGGTAGTTGGCACTTTACACGGTGGAGCAATTTGACGGAAATTACCTTCACGAATGAATAAACGTGTAAAGTGGATTACAGTAGGAACACCGAGTATGGTATTGAGGGAGTGTTGGGTTGGAGAATATCAAAAGAGTGAGACCGGGAAAAGGATACAAACGCACTCGTACAAGGACAGAGATAGATGAGGGGGTTAGGAGGGGGGTTTGGAGGAGAGGTTGATAGAAAGGAGTAAGCAAAAAAAAACGAAAAGAAAAAACGTCGAATTCCCTCAAATGGCTAGATAGAAACTCCGAAAGACACCGACGACAACTGACATAGAACGCTGACAGACGCTCAGGGTAGTGAACTTCTTGATGCCAGGCTGACCGACACACAGAAAGGGAAACGAAAGTGACAGATTGAGGCGGAGAAAGAGTGTAATGCAGGCTCCAGCAAAGTCAGCGTGCAGCGAAAGAGAGGGGGTTGGGCTGCGTTTTGCCAGAGGTGGATACGTTGCGTGCCGTTTACCAAAGCAAGCAAAGACAGTATTTTTTCCTTCCATACGTGCCCAAATATTTATTACTCTATTAATAAGACGGGTCACCACTCACGCCTACCTTGGGTCTCTATTTTCAGTCTCCATGGTGCTCTAAGCTGTTGCTCTAGTCTTTTTGTTCGGCAGCTTGGCACTGAAGGAGGCACAATTTCAAAAACTTAAGGGTGGAGGCTGTATGATCATGTAGAATAACCACCTTGCAGTTTGTTCTCCCCTGGTACAATGTTCCAAACCCCCCTCTGTTTCTTGCTGGTTGGGGTTGGTTGATTGCTGCGCGTTGCCCCGGATCGGACCCGCGATTGGGAATCACGCGAGCAGCGCGTCGTTGAGGGAACGCGTTCTCCGGACATACTCGTGCAGGCTTTGAGATTTATTGAGTGTGCAGATTGCGCTCTCATGCAACTCTGCTTGGCAATTTTGGAACTTGGCAGTTGGAAGCTGGAACCTTTCAACAACAACAATCGCCAGCTCCAAAATAACTACAACTGCAACTGCTCTACAGATGTAGATACAGTTACAGCTATGTACAGCTACAGTTACAAGTTGCATCTACTCTCAGCCAAAACAGTCAGGTGCTGTCCTCCCCTAGAACAGTCACCGTCCAGATCTGGTCGCTACGTTCCTGGTTTGTGTGACATGCTGCAACAGCCCCGGGCTAACATATGGACATTCGGTGCCGGCAGACCGTTCCGGTCAGGACTGATAGCCGAGCTGACTTTTACTACGGTTGACCATGGAATTGGACTTTATATATATACAAGATGTAGGTACATACCTTACCTACATGTATATATAAGCAACGTAGAGGTAGCTATATGTAGTTGTATTATTTGATAAGGAATCTTTCCCAATGGCGCTGCTGTTTCCGAAAGAAAGAAAAAAAGCTATGAAGTAAGTAGTTGTATCTGCAGACAGTTTTTATAACTCTTCAATCATCGGGTTGATGCATAACCACACAAAGATGAACCCGAGCTACTGACACGTCTATCTATACGATGTCACTCAGACATATCGTCCAATCACTGGGTGATTGCGTGCCTTGTATATATTTCAGGCTACCTACTCCCTTTAAGAATATACTCGCAGCAAGAGGAACCCAGTAACTATGTAACTGAGATGTGATTCTTGACGCTTGCTGGACGCAGTTCAAAGGACTAGCAAGAAATGTCTGCTTCTTAATTCTGCAGCAAAGAGGTGCAGAATTAGAAAAAGAAAAGAACCTTTTTGATGATTAGCTATCTTACCCCTCATTAAGGTCAAATTTATCGCTAGTTACACAGTGATCGTGTTAGTTAAGTCTAAGTCCTTCCCAGCCCTCAGGTGTGGAACGAGAGCTTTGACGTCAACGGTCAACGACGATTATATGCAAGCTTATTAACCCTACAGCTGCTGCCCTAACATCCATCATCACTTATGCAACTGCAACTGCAGCTTAAGGGGACGCGTTTTTCCGTCTCGTTTTCGCATTTTTCAATTAAATCATGTGACAAGGCGCGCTACCCTCCCTTCCCAATCAGTAACGAATATTGACCCACCGGCCCGCGCCTGCGACAACCTCGCGTTCCTGAAACTGGCAGTGAAAGCTGAATTAAATATTACTCCCCCCCCCCTCCCTTTCGTATGATGGATTTTTTTTTTCCTTTTCGCGACACGAAAAGTGAGATGAGGTTCGGAATGCACACAGATAAAACCCCTCTTCCGGAATTTGTCGTCTTTCCATCACCCTTCTCCTTGCATTCGTAGCCGGCTGTTGGTGTTCACTGTGGATTATAATTTATCGAACACTTTAACAGTTCACCCTATGAACCATGCTCTCTAGAAAGGTTAGGCTTCATAATCGAGAGCCCAGCCAGTCCCAACGCGCCATAGATGCGCTGCGGCCCAGTTCAAGTCCCGATATGATAAGTACCGGTAACATGTAGGTTTGATCACAGTGATATTAACCACAGCATAAGGGTGTCCACCTTACAAGCCCTTACTCAGTGGGCCTTGGTAACTCGGGGTGCCTAATTCGGGAGTTCACTTTCTCCCTCCGTATCTGCCATCCTATTAGGTACTTGGATCACCTTTCACCTCCCATCTGATGTTTTTTTCTTTCATCCTTGCGGGCAATTCACAGCACAACTTGCCGAGGGTGTGTTTACATATAAACTCTACCCCTCTCCCTCTTCAGGCTCCCCCTCGCTTGTTTATATGGAGCTAAAGGAGGATGGGGGGAGGGCCGGTAAATTTTTATAGGCAGATATTCTAGCTTTAGTGGGTAGACAAGTGAAATCTGGAAACCACCTGCAGTGAAATGCAGTTCCCACGAGGATGTGCTGCAAGTTTCAATAAGTCCAGCCCCCTCCCTACAATGCGCACCGCTAAGAGGCATGTACTCCATATATGTACATAAATGTATATATACAAAAAGATACTTTACATGTACGTACCGTAAACCCCGCCCAGCCCGATTAAAATCATCGGCAACAAACGCCGTCGCTTGTAATGCCCTTATGAAATCGATCTCTTCTTCTTGGGCCACAAAACGATCGTATAGAACTCTACAGCCCCACCAAAAACACCCCTAACAGAGTGAAGATAAATTTTTGACTCCTTTATTTGGGGGAGAAAAATAAACATAAACAAAGTATCGGATGGTAATAGTCCAGGCCCTCATGACGACGAAGGGCTAAAAAGCATCTCCAGGCTTTCAGCCTCTTCTGGGGTAGTTGTTGTCTCTAGAATTTCTTGGGCAAATCTCCTCGTGCTCTCATCAATACCAAGCTCCTGTGAAAGTCCTTCACTAAATGCTAGTCTTGTCATCGCGACAAGATATTTGTGGCTGATACTTGGTATCGCAATTTTCGACATACAAGGTTGGCCGTGTATCTTCATGATACTGTGGAGTAACCGCATGGCCAGATTAACTAATTGAACACTGTTTTGGGTCTCAGCTTTCTGTACTTGTAATATGGTGGGCTGCGCTATTTTTGGTTCCTTCTATATAAATATATAAAACGAGCATGCATTCTATCTTTCTTTTCCAGAAGCGGACTCAACCGCTCAAAAGTAGACGGGAGGGATTTATACACACCTTTGTTCTCTCCCGAATTTACACTCATAAATCTCTTCGAGCTCGTCTGCCATTCTTTTTATAAGCCTCGTCAGTGCGGTTGGATGCTTGGCAAGCGCTGAAAGTCCTAGTTCCATCCCTGAAATACACCCAAGGAGCTGAAGTATCTGCTTTCGGAGCCCTATGATCTCTAATTTCGTATATCCTGGCTTATTTGGAATTGCCCTGGGGGTACTGACGAGAAGTTTCGTCACAGCATCTATTAGATGCCCCTCGTTGGTTCGTTGATCCGTCTCGTTGCTGACCACAGAACCGAATGAATCGCCGAGACAGCTGATAGAAAGAAGCGATGCCATACGCTGGATGTGTGGTAGCCGCTGGTGCGGGTTAAGTATCATCAATGGGAAGTCAGAACGGATAAATTTCCAGAACCTGCAGATTGTTAGACAGCAATAACATCAAAAGAAGAAGAAAAGACGATCAACCACTAAAACCTACATCTTAATCCGTTTTTCGTCCCCGACAAGCCCCAGAGCGATGCCCTCCAGTAATCTCAGACAAAGATCGATATCTATACCTTCGTCCAAGAGTTCCGTGTTCCTCCTTAACATCGGCATAGCATTGACGTCAACTGTCTGTTGAAGTAGGTATGCCGCTTCATCAAAGAACCTGTAGCATTTGCTTCCCTGATCCCACAAAACACCGAATTCAAACAAATCCAGGATAGATTTCAAAGGCCCGTACTACTTATTTCTTTTGTCAGTTGGAGGTAATACGAACAAATGAAAAATGGGGTTTAGCGGAGGCTTACCAAACTTTCGTCTAAGCATCTGCGCCATATATAAAGCAAGGCTTTACACACTCCAGCTGAAAGTTCTGATTTATCTACTGTTGCCTGTAGTAGTGTAATTTGATCCTGAAGAAGGGAAGATATAGAAGTTTCGGGGGATGATGGGAACGAAAATTTTCTTAGATCGTCTAAAGACCGCTCCATGCCGGGAGCAGGTCTATGTGCCATCACTGCTTTAAAGAAGTCGAAACGATCATCTTCTATCAATAGCCTTCCTAATAACATCTCCTCCACAAACTGCATCTGGGCATGGTCAACTGGCATCATCCTTGGATCCTTTGATGATGTTCCGGACATTTTTGGACTATCTATGAGCGGCCGTTTTCTTTTAATTCCAGGTCTCATTGGTGATCGGCCTTTAGCCTTCGATGGGCTCAGCATCTCTGAATCCTCGAACCCATCTCTAAACGCATATCCCTTATTTCTCCTCGGCGTTGTTGCCGGGCTCTTGTGAGTTTCATTACTTTGGTTACCCAAAGACGAATGAAAATCACCACTCTCCCCGACAGTTAGAACTTGATGTCTTGCTGTTTTTCTTCCTATATTCCTAGGGCCTTGTCTCGCTATTTCTTCAATCTCTTTCCTTAAGAACATTATCTCCGTTCTCGTACGCTCTGATTCGGCCTCAATAGCCTCAATATGAAGCTTATACTTTTCTCGCTCTTCATTTCGTTTTTGTTCTGCCTGAGCAATGGCTTCTTTGAGTGTTGCCTCAGATTTTGCTTTGTTTGTGCGAACAACAGATATCTCGCCATTTTTTGAAGAAACAACATCACGAACGGAAGCTATTTCTTTCTGAAGACTTTCTTTTTCTTTTTGCAACTAATTACATTCTCAAAATTCTCATTAGTAAATTTCAATAGTCAAGGATCTGTAATTTAAATCAAAGCCCAGTTTACCTCTAAAACTCTAGCCATGAGCTCCATGAGCTTGGTAGATTCTCCTTTTTCATTTTCCCGATAAGCTTTCTCGGTTTCTAGCTCTACTCCGACCATCACATCACCACCCACAAGGCTCACTCGGTCATCGTGTGCTAGGTTGTTGCCGGCGAGGTGATAGGACCCGGCAGAATTGTCAAAACGCCTCCTTTCATCTACCTCCCCGTTCTCCTCCGCATAGTATTGTTGATCGTTTAAATCCTGCGTTAGCGTTTGAGTCTGTGCTTTTGGCGCCACTGCATCCCACAACTCTGAAGTTTCGTCAAACCCGCCATAATCATCATCCGAAGACGGCGGGTTTTCTGGTACTCTAGGAGTAATTTTACGGATATAATTCTGTGGTGTTGGTAGCTGGTTATTTCGTTGATGGTTATATGGTCTGTATTGATTATAATTCGAGCTCCATTGTTGAATCTTAGATTGCTGCTGCTGCTGCGGCGGCCCTACTGGTAACTGAGGCGGCGACGGTTTTGTATAATTGTAGTATGGGGGTTGTCTACCGATAGCGCGTGAGTCGGGTTGAGCCTGCTGGTATTGGAATTGCTGGTACTGATCATTCTGTTGAATTGGGCGCAGGGAATATTGGGTCTGTACAGGATGTTGGGTGCCCTTTACTGCGGCGTCTTCGAGAGCTTTAAGCTCGTCTTCCGGTAGAGCATCAAGTGTCGGATCATCAGAGAAAAAGTCCTCGTCCATGTTTTATCTCCATAACCTTCGAAGAAGTCGTGGGGGATGTATTAAGCTAGATTGAGCCGAGTCAGTGCTGGGTAATGGAATTTACTTTTGATTCCACATCGCACGGTGTCGATCGCACGTCACGTGACCCAGGATTCGGGCACACCCCAGCATCAGGCAACCTAAATACAAATCCCACGACAGTGTTCATCTAAAAGGGCCCTTCTTTTTTGAAAAATGTAAGGTTTTAGTCAATGCGAATATTTTTCAAGAAATTCAGTGCACCATGCGATTCACCCTTAAGTTCACTCCCACAACCAGCAAGTGCAGCACAAATTATTTATATTTGGAGAGAGAGGAGATATATATTTTATAGAAACCATTGCTAAATCAAATCCTAACACCATTTTTTTGGACAAGAGCAGGCATCAGTTGGAACAATCTACCTAAGATCTCCATCAGATGAAACCCCACTGAAAGTATCACAACTTATCATTGTTCATATCTTCCTAAATTTTTTTTCCTTCAATTTATGTTTCTATCATTCGCCCGAACCCACATATCCTCACTCTATCTTTTACTTTACGGGTTGGCCTTGACAAATTCCTTGCCCTATTTTTTCAAAGTCAGAAAATCTCACTCGATTATCGAGGTGATAAGGGTGCTTTACCTTTGCAATGTTCTTGGCAAGGTCCTTGAGCGCAGCAGCAATAAGGCCCTCCTCGTACTCATTGACCTTTCCGACGGGGTGGATCTTTTTAACACCCTCGGGGCCAAGTTCAATGCGAGAAGAGAAGAATTCACAGCCCTGGTCCTTGTACAGAGGGCTCTCAACGAAAGCGGGCTCAATGACACCCTCCTCACCCTGGGCAGCGCGAAGGAGAGAGTCGGCCATCCTGGAACCGGCATAAGCCATGGAAAGAGTGGCAGAACCAGCGCCATCCTTTGCTTTAACGACCTCATCACCACCGAACTGGATGCGGTTGACGAGAGCATCGCGGGCCTCACCCGAGATATCGGGGTGGTTAGACTGGGAAAGCAGGGGAACAATGGTAACACCTGAGTGACCACCAATGACAGTGACCTCCTCGTTGGCAGGATCGGTGCCCTTGAGCTCAGAGATAAAGCGGGAAGCACGGACAACGTCAAGAGTAGTAACACCAAAGAGGCGCTTAGGGTTGTAGACACCCTTGGATTTGAAGACCTATTAGAGCAGCTGGTTAGAACTACGTGCGAGAAACAGAGCAATGAATAGCAAGGAAAATGATAATCATCATACCTCAGCGGTAATAGGAACAGTGGAGTTCACGGGGTTAGAAATAATAAGGAGGTTAGCGTTAGGTGAGTGCTCAGCAGCAGCCTTGGCCAAGTCACGGACGATAGAGGCATTGGTGTTGAACAAGTCTGTTAACAGTTTAATTCATTAGCACCCAGAACGTAGAGTACCATTTTGAAGCTACCAACCATCACGGGTCATTCCAGGCTTGCGGGGGACACCAGCGGGGATGAGAACAATCTCAGCACCCTCGAGAGCAGCCTTCAATCCCTCAGGACCGACATTGTATCCAGTCACCTTGCTCTTGGTGTTGACGTGAGAAATGTCAGCGGCGACACCTGTATATATCAATTAGCCAGTGCTATCATTTGTTAAAGTAATCAAGCTGTATTAAAAGCATACCAGGGGCTCCACGGATATCGTACAGAGACAATTCAGTGACTCTAGGGTTCAGCTTCAAAAGGAGAGAAAGAGGCTGTCCGATACCACCAGCAGCACCGAGAACAGTGACCTTGGAGTTCTATATCACCCAAAACAGCAGCAGTGAGCATTTTGAACCTTGTATTTATAATAAAGATAGCAGGAAAAAAATTTTCTCCGCAAATAATTGAGTAGGAGAATTGTACCTGCTGAGCAGAAACAGAGAAGCAGCGCCTTTGGGCGGCAGAGAAAGCAGGTCTGAACATGGTCGATAGATGTTTGGTAGTTGATAAGATCGAATGGATAGAAAAGAAAGGCGTCTAGTCTACTATGACACGGCGAAATGTGGGGAAGAGTGAGGGAGAAGGTAGAATTGACGATTTTAGAGACATGGTCGTAGGTACGGGTGTTAAGGTCCGGGGTGGTGGGGTCGTGGCTTGGCACTAACTAAAACCCCTCACAACCGTCGGCCGACGGAGAAATGGAGATTCTGGATATCCTTTGGATTAATAGGAAAATCTAATGGCTTTGGTAAAGTATGATGCACAATTAGGTTTAGTGAAGGTAGTGTGTTGATTGTTATTATAAGCACAACGAACCTCTCGAATTTCATAGGAATACCGGTACCGCATTCTTGAAATAACAAATGATTGAAAAGAATTTAACACAACTCATTGCACCGTACCCAGTTTACTAATGGATGCGTATGAATCAAGTAAAAACCACATTGGAAAGTTATAAAGAGATCCAAACAGCCGGATAAAGACGTCAGTGATGCGCACACATCATGACATTGGGGAAATCCAGAATGGCTGGCCATCGTACAAATGCGACTCTGGGCTATTATAAAGTGCCTACATTCGTTCGTACTGTTTGTCCGAGTAATGAATTTGATCGTCGAATATAACAATATTGTTTACGAAACAACGCCGAGTGATAGCCAATGATGCTCGTACATGATCTGGTGATTGTTAGCTCCGATGTGATCTACAAGGCAGAAATTCTTCGTTCTCATCTTGAGATATATTCCTCAAAGGAGTTAGAAGCATTTCATCCCACCTCAAGGCAGACATAACCTAATACACGGTGCCCTCATCTTAGGTTGATGTTTTTCTCAGTAGGCGTGAAATCGAATTTCTAGAAGCAAGCTTAAGGAGGTCTCGATCGACCTGATCATGATAATCGGAAACAGGAACTAGTTTCCTCTTCTTTTGGCAATCTTATACTGACCATCTCGAAGAGTTCACTCGAGTTCACTCGATATATACACCCACCTTGTGGGCTAGATTGATTAGGTTATATGCAAAGTTTAAAGTAGCTGATGATATGTGTGTTTAATATCCTCTAGCCTTGATTCCGTGTTGGGGGATCCGGATAAAACACGCATTATAATGAGAGATTTTTTTTGGCGTTTTTTACTGCTCGTGTTATGTTATATAGGATCGATTGTGACCAAGACACAGTTGTTCATATATCAGTAGTTATAACAGCCGGTAGTTGACAAATATTTGTAACAAGCCGAGAATATACTTATAAGCTTATATATATAGCTTATATTATAGATACAGCACCCCTACACTTAAGTTAGATTCATCCCTTCGTTCGTGCCCGCGATTCACTGCATGATAGGCAAAAACCTAACCAGGAGGAGTAGTTGGTGGTGCCAGAAGAGGGAAAGAGGAGGCCACAAACAGTGACTTGTGGGCAAAAATGGTTCCCGGAGTGATGGTTATATAGATACGCTAGAGGTAAAAGACTTCTAAACAGGTAAAGTTCATTACCGTCAATACAGACGAAGGGATAAGTAAAGAAAAGTCCTAGATTGATAACCACTCAAGTACTGGATTCGGTGTACTACAATGCTGTTCAACGTCTTATCCTTGCTAGTATCGTTTCCAGACCATTCGATTAGATATTGTCTTTTGGTGGTGGTGGTGGTGGTGGTGGTGGTGGTGGTCAACTATTGGGCTATAAATAATATGAACATGTAGTGGGGAGCGACCCCCGGCTACATATATATAAAAATCAAACACCAGTTCGAGGAACCGCTGATATCTAAAGGGGAGTGTATAGGTCCAGAAAACTCACAAACGTTTCGTGATGATGTAACGCGTGATAGAGATACCTGACTAGCTATATTTCTATCCAGATGTAAGTTCAGTATATAAAATACATGCATACGGGGTTGCATATAAATCAGTACACCCTCTACCTCTCCGTCCACGTACTTCCAGCAAACTTCTGACAACAACGACAATACCAAACCCACCAAAACAGAACCACCAAAATGACCCACCACACCAGATCATATATACTAATTAACAAGATTGCTCTGCTTGAGGAAGACAAGTTTCAAATGAATAAGTCTCGAGCTAGTGATGACGACAATGAAAAAGGATTTCAACGATGACTTCATCCTAGAAATCGAAATCATCAAAAGAGCTAGAGATGAATCACCTCTGAATAAGATTCATGTCGCCCTACGCGTTCTTCAATTACTATCATTTATGGCTATGACCAGCATGGTGGTCTTTATTCCAGATTGTTCGGCAATGAATATCTTGGACACGTATGCTTTCTTGGTATAAAAACCCTTCTTCCGCTACAATTTCCAATCTTCACAAACTGACTGCTATGAGTATTAGTTCACAGTTGGATGTAATTACTTCCTTGCACAGGTTTTGTTCGCTGATATGATCGATAGGAACCAATTGTAAGTCGTCATCAAACGTTCGATTGGAAAATCAGAAAATATTAATTTGCAGGCATCTAAAATATGTTTCTTTTGTTATCGATGCCTTCTTCTGGATAATGCTTGAAGGTTTGGGTGATGTTTTGTCCCCTCAAGATATAAGCTGCAATTATCAAACATGGACTTTTGTGGTTTTGTACCCTATTTTCCTCAAGCTCAAGGTGATAGCAAGGTAAATAGCTTCCTATCGATTGATATTTGGCTAATTCCCAGTAAGAATTTCTATATCTAATGTTTTTGGCGTAGCACCTTCTTACTAGCTACTATGTTTTTAAGCCTGCCCCGTTACCTGGGTCGTGCCTGTGCTCGTTGGGCCTGTAATCGTGGTCGCCAGCAGCAGGGGATCGAGAGTGTGTGCTAGCTTTATTCATTTTTTACTTAAGGTGGGTATACTATAAATTACTTGGGATTGGTATAGCTATATGTTGAAGATTTGATTCCTCAGGGAAAGGTATATTGATTATAGGCTACTGTGAACTTGAACATTATATTTCACGAGGAGGGGGTTAATGGTGTCAATTGTGTTGCTTTTAATATTAATGCTGTTGATTTGTGATGTAAGGAATGCTTCTTGTAGTAGAGACGGTCCAGATTGATATACACGAAAAGGAACGCTGACAGTGCAACATTAAGTTCTCATTTAATTCCCTTGAGCCATTTTTTCTTCTTTTACTCGGCATAGGTTTATACATTAAGAGTATCGTGTCTAGATCGCCACCATGCCATCTATCCCTTCACCCTGCTGATCTCTCAGCTGCAGTATGACCGATAGCCCACCTCGAACGTATAATCAAACTCTCAGTATAATACCCCTACAAATCGTGGAACATTTGCCGCTCATGTCTTTTAATTCAGCTAAGAATACTCATAGTCAGGCTAATTGCGCCAAATACCCAAGAAGTTGCCAATTAGAAACCACTCCCTCATCCCACTCAACCATACGGGGACTTGTGGGTATGAAAACTACTAACGAAGCCATGACAATCATCCAATATTATGTCATGGTATTTATTCTCGGTGTTGAAGGCCATATTCCAGAGTGCCATTGGACGCACAATGTACTCGTATATTTACCAGTGGTACACGCGCATATAGTACCTCAACCTCATTCGATGTTGTGCTGACCGGACATATACTAGTGCTTCAGCGCATTCCCCTATATATTTTTATGCATATGTTTCACTGGACTGAGTGATACACATCACATGTGAGTCGATCTGGGGCATCTCAACCATAACAGTTGAACGCAAGAATAATGAGGACATAGTGCCAAAATCACCAGTCGAATTGTTGATCAATCTTTTGTGAACGCATTCACTTTTGTCGCTATAAAGCTCGGTCGTTCGGAAATGTGTGGTGCCCATGTAAGGGTTTGGAACAAAATCACAGCCGCGTGTGTAAACACACTCTTATAAACGTTACGGCCTTATCGGAGCTGAGCTGATTCATTGGTGACAAAGGGTACTATTTACTGGAACCTGTCTTGTGAGCTACTTCCGACTGAAAGAATTGGCCGAGCACTATAAGAACATTGAGACGGAGATCTCTATCGAGTCTGAAGGAGAACCATCTCCATGAGAACGTGCCTGTAAGTATTTTTGGGGTATGATATACCTGAAGGTTAACAGAGACGGGATGGGTCTTGAGAACTGTAAGTGTATTTTCAGTTCATAATATCGTGGCAGAAAGAGAAATTCCGGGAAGTATATGTCTCGGAATATGAATAGACAATGCATTTATATTGCTAGTTTTTCTCGATGTCTGAGATAATCAGGTCATTATAACGACGCTCATAACCGCTAGGATCTAGACACAAATCGCTTAAGTACATGTAAATTCTTGCAGTAATATAATGTACCAGAGGCTAGTAAGCGGAAAAGCAGTGCCACAAAATACGAAAACACTTATATACTGACACTGTCTATGCCTGAACGTGCCTTCATACCAAAAGTTTCAGTATCTGGGTACATGTAGGTTCCTATCAAGATTTAGTATTGAAATTGGTACGTAATGATTGATCAATACGTATGTTTAACCAGCATATGACCCGCAATAGGCCACCTGACGTCCCGAGTCTTACTAACTAGATTCCATCTCATTTCTACTTTACCGGTACCCCCTCGCCCACATATATACACACTCTCTCTTTTTGATATTGAAGTCACCAATCAACTTAAAATAAGTCTTTAACAACTCACTGACCAAATATCGACAGCTATGAGCGCCATGTCCCGTCTTGATCCTCGTAGGCTCAGTAGTCCAGCCCGCCGGGCAATCGCCGGGCTCGCAGTAGAGATACCCATGGAGCACCGTGGTGTGATGGCTATTCGCTTCCTTCTTTTTATAGCTCTCTTTATCTTTGGTTTCACATATGCCAGCGCACAACCAAGAGTCTATCACGACGTCCTCATCTGGAAGCACAATGCCACCCCACCCCACACTGTCTATATATACCGCAACATAACATCGTGGACAGATAGCAGGGGTTCGAGCAGTGGCATTACAGATGGTGGTGATGATACAACTCTATTCGGGAGCTTCCTGTGGAATAAGACAAGATCTCCGGGATCGGGAACACGTATTTGCAATGATACCCGTTTCGCAAATACAGAATACGGGATTGCGTGCGATGGTAGTTGGTCGCAGGCGAACAGGATTGGATTTGAAGATTCGTTGGGGTTCAGAAGGGAGGGTGAGAAAAAGGGCATGTTCTATATTGATAGATATGTGTTCTGGATGATAATTGTGTTTGTAAGTTTCCCTGTACAATGCGATGTGCGTGAGGGGAAATGCTTATGCGACCACCAGGGAGGCGTTGCTGTGGGACATTGTCTTATTTGCTTGTGTCATTCTTTACAGCCTGAGGGAATTGCTTTCTACCGGTCGGTGCCCCCCTAAACACCAAAGTTGCGAGTTGATCTGATAGAGAAGGTCTTAGATATGAAGTTATTATGGACTGCATATTAGCATTAGCCTTCCTATCTCTAGGCATCCTTCCGCTAGCATGGCTACCCTCAGGAAGGCTTGCAGGAAAGGAGGGATTTCCAGAGAAATGGAGCTACAACATAACGGACCAACTACTGAGCAACCGCCCAGACCTGAAGACAGGTACCGTGATGGGTTGGCTATGCTTGTATGTATGTCCTCGCGGTTTGTTTTGTCTGCTCCGCATAAACTGACGTCAACTCTAAACTCACAGTATCGCATTTGGCGCCTTGATTGCGCTCAACATGATACTCATAGACGACCTAAACATGTTCGCCAAGATCATAGAGAGAACACAGAGCCGGACGCAGGGACGCACTCTCCATGATGATATAGTCGAACGCGTCTCCGAGTTTGGAGCAGTCGGTAATACCGGCAGCTACTACTTGCAGCACCCGCCTGCTGCCGCTACTCCGCGAAGAAGGGTTTCGGGGGGTAACTGTGTTTAGGAGGAGGTTTCTTTCTTGATGCGCATGGCATATTTTTATCGAAACTAGCTTGGCTCATAACGTGGGCAGGCGCTGGATAGGGTGGTTGGATACACACATCTTTGCGTTGCTTTAGGTTGCGGACGTTAATTGCCGCCGGTTATACTAGTCTTAACGAACTTAAAGGAATAGACTGAATACTTTTTTTTCTTCCGTTGATTGGCTTGCTTAGTCTCGATAAACGTACTCAGACGCTGGGCGGATTCTCCAATATTTAGTCAATTCTCGTTATCCCTTTTTTAGGGGGAGGGGCTATTTATAGGATCCGGAAGGGGGGCCGAGTGAATCACAGTGCATCACTCGCACGCGGCCAAGCAGCAAGATACGCAATTATATCTTACTTACACCCCCTTCTTGTTTCTGCTCGTACACCCACGATGTTTGCATTGTGAAACCAGTCAATAGAGCAATGTTATGCTCACGCAAACCATCTTAAGAGAATGCCCAAAATGAGAAAAAGGACTATCCTAGTATGTATTTACCGTCCACGCCTATTTCTATATCCACGAACCTACATGTTATACAGATTCCCCGGCCCCGGCAATACCACTACCCCGGGAATGAAGTGTATCGCTGTTTTCGTCTACGCATCACGAAAACAACGAAGCAACCCCCAGCCATAGATACGCCAATGATGATTCCCCCCCAATACTGTATGCATAAAACCCTAGTATGCAGTATAGAAACCTAACCATATGAAAAGAACAGGGAGGACTCCGGGCCTTCCCATCGCAAGTAGGGAAGAGAGCAAAAAATAGCAACGAGAAAAAGAGGCGCACCAATGAGCAAGAAGAAGTAGAAAAAAACCTATAAAAAAACCCTACAAAAACAGCAAGAAAAACCCGTAATGAAAACCCAAAGCCCACAAACAAAGAAAAGAAGTCCAAGCCCCCCCCCCCCCCCCTACAACGTCGCCGCCCTCTCCACCCCCTCCACCACCTCCTCCACCTCCTCCACCACCTCCTCCACCTCCTCCACCACCTCCACCACCTCCACCTCCCCGTCCAGCCCACCACCATCATCCCTCCGAATCTCCACCGTAAACACCACACTCTCACTCGTCTCCACGACCACCTCCTCCGCCGCCAAATGGTTACTCGTGCTCACCAGCCCGCCAAAGCGCGTCTCGGCGTCCCTCATATTCCAGCGCAGGCCCTGCGTCGTGATCACCGCCGCGCCCCCGATCGGCAGGATCCCGCATGTAAGACCGAGCAGGTGCCGCGGCGTGAGGATGGTGTTGCGCCCGGGCGCGAGCAGGAACGTGATGTTCTCCGACGAGACGAGCGTCAGGCGGCGCGCGGGGCGGGTGCTGGCCGCTGTGTGGAGCGCTTGTATCTGTCGCCTCCACTTAGCCACCAATCCGCCGGCAAAAGCGGAGAAGCCACACAAAAAAAAAACATACCGAATGCAAACTCTGGTCCACCCGCCCGCCCCACCCGCCCACGGCCACCACGGGGATGGGGCTGTGCGTGGCCGACACGCGCGTGCCGCGCCAGCCCTCGAGCGCGTCGTGCGTCTCCTCGAACTCGGGCGACTGCAGCCCCGTGTGCTGGCTGATGTAGTCGAGGCACTTTGCGAAGTCGGTGCTGTCCTGGTCGCGGTCCTGGATGACGGCGACGCCGTGCGCGGCGTAGTAGGCGTGGATGGAGGGGAGGAGGGAGTCGAGGTCGCCGACTATTGCGTTGGGGAGCTGTGCGGTGGGGGTTAGTGGGGTGGGAGAGTGGGGGGTGTGGGGACAGACCATGAGTTCGCGGGCGGCGTCGGTTTGCAGCGCCGTGTAGAGGCGGTTTGCGCCGCCGTCTGCGCAGACGCGGAAGCTGCCTGCGGGGGGGTATTAATTACTGTTGCAGAATTCACCCGATGCAATGAAAAACGGTAAATATGGGCTGAAGGGGGGGGAGGAGACAGACTGTTTGCCCAGATGTTCCCAAACAGCTCCAGGTCGCTGATCTCCTGGTTGAGGATCAGCAGGGCGAAAGGTCTGTCGTCCTCTCTGGCGGGGTCGATGTAGCGCGCGGGGTCCCAGACGGTGGACCGCTTGGAGGGGGAGCTGCCCATTGCTTGGTTAATTGTATCTTCTGGTGGGTGTTTGGTGGTTGTGGTGGGTATTGGTGGTGGTGGTTGTGGTGTTGTGCTGGGTGTGGATGTGGATGTGGATGTGGAGGGAGCTCAATGGCGTCGGAGTCCCAATGAAGACCCGCCATGATGTCACGAGCACGGAGGATCGGCGCGTTATCAATCGGATCTAATCACCGCGTCGCCGCCATGCAGCCGGGCGGGAAGCCTGTCTCAGACGCTCGCTATTCCCCTTGCAGCTAGCCCAGACATGCGCTATCTAATCGAATCTAATCTAATCGAATCGCATCCATCTAATCTCGGCCCCCCCGTGCTTAGAAATGCACTGTGCTGAAGATATGACGATTGCTGCTGGTGCCTGGAGGAAAAAGGGAAACTCTCATCTCTCTCTCGTCTCTCTGCCGCCATCGCCGAGCACAAACACAGAGGAGCAGTATATAGAAACACCGCTCACCACTAATTCCTCTCCCCCCCCCCCCTATTCCAATTGACTCTCCCTCCCTCCTCCAGCGGAAAAAACAAAATGTTCCGCCCCGCCGCCGCCCGCTCACTGCTCCGCCACGCCTCCTCCTCCTCCTCCTCCTCCTCCTCCACCACCGCCTCCTCCAGAACCGCACTGCTGCTCCGCAAGCCCACAGCATCCAGCCGCCTGCTGAGCACCTCCGCCGCGCCCAAGAAACGCAGCACGCTCAAGGGCACGGCAATGAAATGGGCCCTCGCCGGAGGCATCGTCTACTGGTACACCACCTCCGCCGTCTTTGCCGACGAGCCTAAATGTCTGTCTCTCCCCTCCCCCTCCCTCCCCCGCCCCCTCTGCCCCCCAACACACAGCATGCAGCTAACCCCACCGGCAGTCGAAGAAGAACGCCCCGCAGGCCCCACCGAAGCCGAAACCGACCGGCCCGCCTCCCTCCTCCCCACAAAGCCCCTCCGCTCCAAGACCCCCCCCACCTCCACCTCTGCCACCTCCTCTACCACCTCCTCCACCGCTACAGGCGAGGGCGAATCCGCCGCCCTCGCAACCCACCCGCGCGCGCCCGACGAGCTCGAAGAAGAAGCCTCGCAGGAAGGCGCCTTCAACCCCGAAACCGGCGAGATCAACTGGGACTGCCCGTGCCTCGGCGGCATGGCGCACGGGCCCTGCGGCGACGAGTTTAAGGCCGCCTTCAGCTGCTTTGTGTTTTCGACGGAGGAGCCGAAGGGCGTGGATTGTATAGACAAGTTTAAGGACATGCAGGCGTGCTTTCAGAAGGTTTGTTTTGCGCTCTTCCCCCCCCCCCCCCCTTCCCTTTTGCGCCACTCTCCCGCTGCGTTTTTTTTTTTTTTTTTTTTTTTTTTTTTGCGCTGGCCTTTCATAGAGGTGCGTGCAGGAGCTGAGTGAGTGGTAAACACAGTACCCAGAAGTCTACGGCTCCGAACTCGACGGCGACGACGACGACGAGGACGACGACGAGCTAGACCCCGCCACCTCCCCCGCCAACACCCCCCTCGCCGCCAAGTCCTCCGAAACCGGCACCGACCGCTCCCCCACCCTCTCCGCCACCACCTCCTCCTCCGGCTCCGCCGCCACCACCGGGAAAGCCCCCGCCCACACCGGCACCGCGCCAGCGTCCACCGGGAGTGCGCCCGCGTCCCGCAGCGAGGCACCACCGGCAGAGGTGACGGAAGCAAAGACGGCGCCGAGCCTCGCGGAGCCGAGCTCGTCGGTGGCGGAGACGCCTGTGCTGCAGAGTGCGCATCGAGGCGATGCGAGGGCGAGGTCGATTAGTGATCCGCCGACGGAGAGGGAGAGGGAGATTGCGGAGGAGGATGCGCCGCGGAGGAGGGCGCCTAGGAAGGATTAGAGGTTGTGTGGGTGGGGAGAGGGGGGAGGGGAGAGGGGGAAGGGATTGTTCCCCGGAAAAAAAAAAAAGTAGAAGATGTAAAGTATGCCAGGCGCGAGTAGAGGGTGCGGGTTTGTAAACTCAAAAATTCAAAATTATGTGTATATTTTTTTTTTTATCTCCTTTCCCTCTCTTACTTTCCCCCCCTTTTTTACATACACCACGATCTCTAGATATATATATATATATATATATATATATAAATAACACAATAACCCGCGATTGTAAATATACAAAAACCTCTCTTTTCACTTTCTCCCCACCCGTTTGTGAAACACCCTCGTTTCCGTCCAATCCCAACGCTCCATAGCACCCTTCACACACCATCACTCGGCCCGTCATGAGCCATCAATCGGTGGGTTAGGGGCAGGGTTAGGGTTGGGGATATTAGGAATTTTGACCTTCAGTGCTATCCCTCTGATCCATTTATTCGGCCGCGTAAAAACAGTGTGGCTTCTGCAGCAGAAATGTGGGCCGCGGGGGGGGAGGGGGGGAACTAAAACACTGCTCTATATCTGCACTCGGTGCTAAAAAGCGTCGAGGGGGGTTGCTTGCATTCACCAGTCAGTGGCCGGGGAGAGATATGGGTCGACTGGTAGCTAGGGCTGTGGGTACGTGTGTGTAGCTTTGGATACTGTGTGGTTTTATATATCCCCCGCGGCCTCGAATTCTCTTGATTGAGTCTAACACCCCCCCACCCCCCAACCCCGCGGCGGGCCCAATGGCGTGACGGGCCGGGGGCTCGACATGTATTCGCTGGCATTTACAGGCGGGTTATATCATCTCCTCCCCCGGGTACGTCCCAGACGAAAAACACACCACAAAACCAGACTGGTAATAACCAGATAGCAGCAGCGCCATCTCGCCAGACGGCGGCTCCTAACCAGATACCATGGTAGCCCTAGTGTCGGCAGAGTGCTCATAAGCACGCGCGAACAGCCGTCTACGCTAGAATGCCGGGCGTGACACACACTGTACTGTGGGGTATTACTTACTCGCTCGCTCACTCACAGAGGGTTGCGGTTCTACGTACAGCGGGGGCTGTTTAGCGCAGAGACGTTTTGGGGGGTATACCAGTTGGTGAAGAAGCAGCGTGGCCCCTGATCTGATCTGGACAGGAAGAGGAAGAGGGGCTGTCTTGTCTGCCCTGTTACGCTACATGGTCGATCCCGAATAGCGTGCGTGACTGGCGGGCTGCGAATCCGCGCGTGGCCCATCCCTCAATCCCCGCGCCCGCACCATCTACTCCGTCACTTACAAAGATTTCTGGAATCGCCGTCTCCGGTCTTTAGTGGTAGGAGGTGAGTGAGGGTGGTAAATGGCCCCGGGAGGTGGGAGGTGGGAGGGCGGCGGGATGTATGTAGCTGGGCCCGAGGTTCCGTGTGTGCGTGCGGTTTGAAAGTGGCGCCGCATGCACGCTTCCTCCTGCGGGGGAAGACATGGACTAGCTTCACTCGCCGTCAGTCCCGGTACGCGGGGGCCTGGACTACAATACATCTATCCACTCTTTGTCCCGGCCCCTCCCAGATACTGGGAGACAGAAGTCAATCAAGCCCTCGACCCCCCCGGATCGGAGCCATAGCTAGGGCCCGAATTAATCCAGTTTCTTTGTAGGACCTACCAAAAAAAACTGTCTCGAGAGAGCGCAGCGATAGGATGTAGGTACTACACGCCTGTAGGTTTTCGGACCCCAGGCCCCGGACCCCGAGCCCCTCTGTCTAGAAACCTCAAACCCTCCGCCACGACCGGTCCTAGACGGGCTAGTGGCTCGAGTGAGTATACATGTATGAGCCAATACCAACGCGCACACCTGGACCATCCATTATCCTCTCGAGAGTAGAGCCAGCGTAGGTAGCAGCAGCGCAGGCTCTTGCACGGATCCGGAGAGAGGGGGGGGGGGGGGGGGGGGGGGAAGAGAAGTGAAAAGAGACACAGCGCCATGTCTAGCCAGCTAGACAGCCGTACCACAATACGAGAGGCCCTACAGTCGGAATATCATATATACCAGCAGTATCAGCTACAAACCTCCGCGGGGTGAAGTCGAATAAGGTGAAAAAAGATGCTAAGCTGTATTCTTTCGCGAATTCCTATTCGTTCGTTCAATCGCCCCCCCCCCCCCCCCCCCCCTCTCTCCCCATATGCAGCGTAATCCTATTATGGTTTTCAGCGCAGCTGTTAGAACTATTTTTCAATGTCTCATAGTTGGGAAATAGCTAGAGGCGTTCGAATCATAGACGTTGGACAGACACCCATCTATGTCCGTGGACCTTCCCTTCCAACAGAGGGTGCTCGACCTTGGCTATACGTCCAAAACACCCGGATTGGGTGCCTAAAGTTTCTTTTAACGACAACAGTCCCTGAAAGTGCTAATATTTGGGGGCGAACATTACATACCGTTAATTCTCGACAAATCCACTATCTCCGCTTCGTTAAATCTTAATTCCGGGCGAGAAAAAGTGTGTATCTGCACGAGGTTTGGTGCGCCGGTTCGCCTTGGTCCGGACTTACCACATACAAATACGGGGATAGTGGATTATTCGAGAATGAACGGTATTGTGGGTTGACAAAAGTTCGCATAGCAATCAGCAGAGATTACCCAAAATACTAATTTACAAGTCGGTAATCGGGATTAATAGCTAGGAGCTATGTTCTATCAATCTTCAGCTTTCTAATCATTTAACCATCTCTTCTATATCTTTTGTGGCTGTGGAGTTATAGTCGTTTCATGACAATACATACATGTATGTAATGCGGAAAGGTTAGAGTCGAGGGCGTGTCCGGACAGGCAGAATGATGTATGTATTCAAACGGAAGTTCCCCCCACAGGCAGTCTGAGCGGTAACTAACTGATGCGAGATATTGGATATCGATTAGCATGTGGAGACATATCTATACTGTGTACACACAAGAAGTACCAAGTGAAGACAACACAAACCGAATGCATGTACACAGCTGTACAATCCATGGGACACCAACAGCCTCACCTGAACAGAACCCCAGTGGGGGAAAAGTACCCTTAACCCGCCTCTTCCCCCACAGGTTTCAAAAGTAAACACGCTAGTATAAATAGCACTATTGCACTTCCACTGCCACGATCGGGGTCTTGTTCCTCTGCTTAAGCGGAGCAAGACATTGCCCCGACTCGGCTGGGCCCCCCGAAGCACTCGCCTAATTTAAGCAGATGTCAGATTATCATTATCATCATCACTGGTAATGGTACTGGCACTGCTCTCACTGACAGCAACCATTCATGAGAGTAAGTACATATGTACATACCTGCTGTCAAAAGAGTTTGCGGGGTTTCTGGTACATACATAACCCGAATTAATTCGCTTACTGATCAGGCGATATGCACTTTCTGACGGCGCCTCACCATGCAACATGGAAGCCTTGTAGACTCTGGCGAATTCTCAGCTCCTTACTGATATAGAGATGAGAATTGTGGTAGTACATGCCACGGTAGAAGAAAGCCCAGCCTGATCAGCGATCGTACCCTGGCTCTGGAGGTCTAGGTTCAGCGAATTGAAGGCTTGCAACTACAGTATATTAGCAAATTGTTCATAATCGCCTCTATTTCATTGGGCGAACGCATTGGATATATACATAGAGAAGTATGTGTTTATCTTCAAGCCACTGACCCCTGGGGCACGGCGGGAAATTGCTACGCCGAAACTACCTTACACATATCCAAACATTTAATCAACCTCCAAGAATCTATATAATATGTAGATGCGAGTGGTTTCACTGTCTTCTTGCCGTTCCTAAATTATAAAATGCTCATCGACTTCAATCCACAAGGTATCACTCAGCGACCCTACGTTTTTACGACCACTGTCAGCACACGCACACAATGAATCGAGTTTGGACATCCCCTTACTTCTGTTCAGTCATGGCTAAGAACGATATCGATATTCAACCACCAACCCTCGATCCAAAAGTTACCGGCCCAAGTACTCCTGTCCCTGTATACGTACCGGAATATCCTTTGGTTGGGGAAACCGAGATTCCAAAATTCCTCAGCGCTCAACTTCTTACTCAAGATTTAAACGAAATCTCCCCATGGCTATTGCTCTTCCAAACGCCAAGCTCCAATATCTCGCCCCTTCATCATCAAATTGTCCGTCAACGGGAGATTGTAATAACAGAAAAGATGGGGTTGCATCTACTCTGGCACAAAAACAGAATTTTTATTAAGCCGTTGCCTTCGTATCTTCTTGACGATAAGTTCCGAGAAAAGTATGTGGATAGTGACCCAAGCCTAAAATTAGCTGTTGGCGGGTTCCTTCATTCATATACATGCTTGATTCAAAGTCCATCCGACATGGATATCGCCGTCGAAAAAAAGCTACTGCCAAAAGGGGCGATCAATGAACCGGATAAACTTTTCACGCTTTTGAAGCGTTATAAAGGGCTACCGGATGAAATGATGTCCCCTCGATTCCAGTACGGCGAACTTCAACTCAGCAGGATAAACTTCTTCATCAAGATATTCCGCCTCCAGCCAGGTTACCATGAGGTTCATGGCCAATATAGAACTTATTTCGGCCGCTTTATGGGACCATTCCTCTTCATTTTTGGAACAGTCAGTGTAATTCTATCTGCCATGCAGGTTATTCTAGCAGCTACGCAAGATTATTCCGCCTCGCGGACTTCGCCACGTTTATTCGAAATCTTCTCGAAATGGTTTTCCGTAATTTGTATTGGAATTGTTGTCGCTATGATCTTTATGTTAGGCGCGTTGTTCATCGGTATGGCGTTTCATCAGGGTGCATTTGTTCTGATTCACGGAATAAGTAGATGGGGAAGGAAGTGTAAGAGAGAGCTGCACGGTGCTTGAGGTCTCCATGTAATTTATATCCTGAACAAAATTGACATGGTCAAAATGAATTTTTGAGGCCAATAATAATTTTCCGTACTGAGCAGAGTCAAACTGCTCTTACCCTCGCTTATCAACGTAGCGTAGTTTCTACACTATGCCTAGACCTTCTATCAGATAATTCTAACAACGATGCGAGTAAAGAATGATTCATCGAGATAGAGGCATAAAGACGGACCTCAAGTGTGTATAAACTCAAGGCGGATGCGTCAAAGATCTTAGATATCGACTAAATTGTTCAAGCAAGCAAGATCGATACCACCATAGTCATAGAACTCGAAATCCTGAATACCAGCACATAGTAAAAGCACTATGGTTACTCTTCCAATTTTTCATCTTTTAAAAATGTGAATTAAATTCATGAACTACCACCGCCGATAAGATATCGAGTTCTTAGAGCTCTTGATAATACTATATTATCCCTCTTCTCCATGGGAGAGGCTGGTCTCGAGTCTAGGACTAATAGTCCTGGACTGACGAGTGATCTCACATGACTCACATAGGTCTGCCAACCCCGCCGTAACTTAAATCCTGCAAGATGTCAACATATATACAACCTATTAACTTTGTATGTTTTAAAAAGTGAGAATTACCTGTCTGAGTGAGGTAGATGATCCTCGTAGGCTCGTACTACAATTGTTAGCATTTGCAGGGCCTTCCCTGTCTACAACGTGCTGTGAGTAGTAATTCTATGAGAGCTAAAGTTGAGAGTGAAGACTACCAGTTATGATGACCTGTAAAGTATCATCGGTAGTAAAAATTCGTATTAGTATGGGGGAAGGGTACCATTGAGATGGATACAGGCGTATCGATCGATACCAACAACAGCAAAACTCAAACGGCAAAGACCGCGCGTTGATGTAGTCATGATAGTTTTGATTGCATACTTGTATGTGCCGAAGATTATAGCATCCCATAGCACAAGCCAATAGAAGATGGACCCGAGCCTAATGGCATTCAAGGCTATAATGGAAAGAGAGGTATGCAAGGAAATTAGGGAGGGAAGACAGGAAAAGGGGCTCTGTGGTGATCTAGTGAGGGCAAAAATGACCAGGGGTACATGTGGAGAGGGGTACATGTGGAGAGGGGTACATGTGGAGCTACGTACATGTAGTTGATTCATGTATCGTGGTCTACAATGTACTGCTGGGAAAAGACTTTCTCACTAACAACGTGTTTGCAACCCGATAGCGACAATAGACTACATTCCTCGAGTGATAATCTATGATGTCATTTCACTATAGTTTTACCAAAAATATCGTACACATGCTTAAGAGTGGTCATTTCTTAGTAAGTGCATGCGTTTGGCGACTACATGTACTGCTCATATGAGACGATAAACACGCAACTTGAAACCCTAACCAAACATCTTATAGCTTCGGGTCGACGATAAACCGGTGATTCAAAATCCTCATGCTGTGCATGCATGTCGGTCAACATCCCTAGGCCTAGACCTTTGGGATTAATTTTATGGAAAAGTGCGCCTACAAAGTTCTGTGATACAAACGCCCGGTATTTGAACATCTCACCATTTCCTGAGAATTCATAAGGTACCTCCAACTCTAATCTCAAATGCCACCGAGTGATCCTACATGACTTGCACTCTTCATCACAAACGAATGCTTCATCGACGGAACTAAGCAGATTCCAATACTGGCACAAATATTGACTTGTTGATATATTCACTGTCATAAGACCCCATGACCTGCCCCTCTTAGGGATAAAGTCGTATCTCAGAATCAGAAAACATGCTCGTGCGATCCACTAGCTTGGTGGCTCGCTTGCAACATTGAAACACCACTTATCTGAACTTGTGAAAGTGTGTATGCGCATAACCGCCATAATATCACAAACATGATTTCCAAAGGCAGACCTAAGGGATACTGCATCCCGAAACCGGGAAGACGGATCCTCACAGATACATTAAATTGGGCCGAACAAGGTTTAGGCTTCTTGCACTTCTACTCCTACGCATAATATAGGATGCCAAGCGCATCACAGCGTCTCACTCTCCACCCCCTCTTCCCCTCCACCCTTCATGAGGTTTCATCCAAACACCTATCCAAGAATTCAAACTTTGTTTAGTCTTGCAGAGAACGCGGTTCGTCGCCTGCGCATCTCTGGTAAGCTGTGCTGACGTCATCAGGAAGAACACATGTCCAGTTTACTCCTTCAAAGGCACAATATCTCACTATCAGTATCCCTACTCTAGATATCTCTACCGTCCCGTACCTATTGCAGTCGGCAAGTAAGTACATAAACGCTTACAAAGAGGGGCCGCGCCGAAGAACATAATGGAGAGTGGGGTAAACCCAGAATGATCACGGGACGGGGAATCGGAAATTTGGCGCTACTAGTTTATGAGGTAGGAATTGCAATTCCATCGGGACCAGTATGTTGGGGGCGGTCGAGATCCACGACCAATGATTTGCTAGAAATCCTGGTGCCTAAATCACAAGGCCACAGCCAAGCAGGACTTGAAAGGTGCAATAAATAAAAAAATAAAAAAATACAACTCCCGATCCCGATAGCCAGGGAATTTTATCTCGCGTTAGCGGTACGTAAAAACGATTTTTTTTATTAATTTTCGTCTACTTGTTGATAGCGTTAAGTGGTTTCTTGCGTCTCGACATTTGACTGCATCGGCAAGGTAAGCTTCAGGTTGCCAAGACTACCGCCGCCGCCGCATCTAAAGTCTTAATGATTCCGGGCAGATACAGAAGGCAAGATTAAGATGAGAACTGATTCATGCATGGGCTGAAAAAGAAAATGAGAAACATATAATCGAACCCATTGAACATGGGGATTCCATGGTAGGATGGATGGCCAACTACATGCATGCATAGTGGCTAAAATGCGACTTCAGTTTTACAAGCGGTCATCCAACCAACAACAATTTCACAAGCACAACTCTAAGTGGATTCAATCAATGACATACGTAATAAGGTCCAACAGAAAAATAAAAATAAAAAACGAAACAACTCCCGTATGTATGTACAGCCGCATTCGAAAAGTACTGGCACCCTACTATATTGAGTCGTTCATGAATTGTAGCCCACCAACAACCATGGCACTCATGCATACTCAACTTATTGACAGGTATGACCGCAATAGAGACATTGCAGCTCTCTCTGATAACGGTCTCGAATATGAGAATTGCAAAGTAGAAAGGACTGCCTCGTGAGTTTAGCCCGGAGGTGCCAAAACTTTTCGAACGCGGCTGTACATATGTATGTACTCTACATACCAACTATACAGGCATGAAGATTGGCTAAGTACATGTACCTCCAGTAAAAAAACACTGCCACTGCCGAGGATCCGGCAGCCAGGATAGAGGCGGGGAGTGAGAAGGCTGGGTACATACAGGCCTCACACTCAAAGCAGAATAAATGCCAGAGCCCATCCCGCGCGGCGCAGACATTTTAGCTGGGCCCGACAGTTTGGTCCGGCAATTGATGCAGTGCGACATATATCATCGAGTGAAAACGGACTGGTTTCCTACTGGAGGCTGCCTTTAGAGGATATTCTTCAGGTGTCACAAAAATACGGATGAGAGTATTAAATCGAAAAAGTGCTCCGCCGGTCGTTGACCCATCCAAACTGACCCACCAGACCTGATTCGGAGCCTGACTAAGCAGCGGATTCGATCGATTTGGTTATCGTCACGTGCTCTGTATTTATCCGGTCATTCATCAACAGTTGGACTTTCCCATCATTATGGATCACTAATGGTCAACGAAAGTTGATCACTTGTAGCAATAAATTAAGAAAAGGGGTTTACGGGAACCGCTCGTTAGTTGAGTCTACATCAGACGTTTTACCGGATCGACACCATATCGTCAATCTAGGTTATACAAGAGACGTTCATGGCCCGTTGTATACTACGTGTAATATTTTAGATAATAGGCCCGCCAATTACATTTTAGGACCAATAAATCATACGCAGACCATTAACTAGTTCTCAGGGGGTAAAACAGACCGAAGATTTGTAATTATCACTGAATCCTACCTTTATAGCGATATTCATATGTTCCAGTTTACTTATTGATAATGTAGCTTTATGTTGTGTTGCAACAGACTTCATGGCCGCAGTATCTATCATTGACCCTCGGCCGCTTTGTGCCAAGAGCCTTTCTCCTCTAAAGGGTTATTTGCCAAGGATTTTATAAGGTACACGGTATACGGGCAACATTAATGCCGGCCAACTTCTACCTATGCCGGTACAGTATTAGACGGTATTCACCCACAGATTCCTCCTTCATCCCTTTCTGAGCGGCTTCACATCAATCTCATACCCTCATGCCCTCAGCTGATCCAACCTGCAGGCTATTACTAGTTCTTGCTGGTAACCAAAGACTCTGGGACAGGCATCTTTGGCACTCGTGGGGGTAGTACCTTGGTGGACCCCGAGGAAAACGGAACCCATTATCTCAACTCGTCTTGTTTCAATAGAAGATGTACTGAATGGGTATTTTCTGAACGAAAGCGTGAGAGGAGGTAGTGTACAGAGAGCAACCATGTGCGCGTGGGGTAGAAAACATGATCCAAAACCTACAATGGTCATGTAGGTTTTCTACTCAGACCTGCACTTTGATGGTTGTTGTGTAGCATCTGATGGGCACGAGACTATATATATATCATGTGTTTACCCAACTTCCAATTGCATTAGCACACTTGCCTAAGATACGGATAAGTGAGTGATATGCCATGAAGTGAAGGAAAAAAGGTTTACTCTCCTCCCTCTCCTAAGATACTCGGGACCTATCAAACCATCGGTTTATCCGTGTATTTATCCGTGTGTGTATGTCGGGTCCCTATTATTTAAGTTATTCCAAAGTAATTCGCTGGTTCTCAGTAGGGTTCCTACTTTATGCAGGTACATGTTATGACCCAGAAATCCACTCTCTCACGAGTTAGCTTTATGGAATTAGTGATAAGGACATTAATACTGGGAATATCAA